ATAAACATTGGTATGGAAGAAATGTAAACAAAATTTGTTCTTATTATTAAAATGTCTATATGATATTTTTTGTCACTTTGGCATTTTTTTCACTTTTTTCAATGGGTCACCGAAACCACTAGACCTGCCTTCCCAAAAATTTCACCAATTCTTCATTTCGTCAATACAATTAAAATGTTTTTTGAATCTTACAAATCGGATACTCCGTTCTCTCAAAAATTTCAATTATATTTTTGCCCCGTATCTTCGAATCGGCTCGACCTGTCTTTGCCAAAAACTAATCAGCACGTCTCCTTATCAATACAAATCGAATGTTTTATGATGATTCAAATCGGTTGACCCGTGTTCCAGAAATCGTCGACAAAAATTTGTATCCGCACACACACCCACACAAATTATACCCTGGAGGTATAAAGGCATTTCCTTCGCTATAATTTTTTGTATAGCGAAGGAAATGCCTTTACAACACACACATACATCCATTTTTTCTGAGGTATACCAACATGTTCAGAAGATCTTAAACGTGAAGATATGCAAAAATGTTATTTTCGATTTTTTTGCGATTGCTGTAACTTACCCTACGCGAAGTTAAGTCAATCGGGCGTTTCGTTATCTCAAGAACGGAGTTACCGTTCCCGGTATTTTTTGCTCCGTATCTTCAAAACAGCTGGCTCTGCCTTCGCCAAAAACTAATCAGACGTCTTCCCATTCATAAAAACGAATGTTTTTTAAAATATTCAAACCGGTTAACCCGGTTCTCGAAATCGTCGACGAAAATTTGTATCCGCACACATACACGCATTTATGCACACATACATCCACTTTTTTAACTATAAACATCCACTTCTTTTTAACAATATAATATACCCAAATGATCAGGAGGCCTTGAAACGTACAAACATTTACATTTATTATTTTTTTGCGATTACTTTAACATACCCTACGACAAGTTAATAAAATTGAAAAATGGCACGAGCCGAATCTTTGCAACTTATTGTTTTAATAATAAACTTTACATATTGATATACATCGTGGTCTAAACGAACATCTTAAAATAATTTAATCCGGCAAAAGTGGTTTATTATAAAAATTGATTAACGTTTGGATTATTGAATTCAAATACAAGCACACGATGTATGCAGACCAAGAATATGCAGACCAATATGCAGCTCAATTGACAATAAGAGCTTTAACCACTTCCGTCGTCGCCGGCAATAGGCGTCACATTTTCAATGATTTGCCGACGAAAGACGATTTTTTTTACCAGCAACAAGTATATGTTAATATACTTACATACTGATATATGAGTGTCGAAAAACTGAGGTGGAAGAACGACAGAACAGCTAAAACTGGTGGCAGCACTAGTGGGATGTAACAGTGCCGAGTCGCAACGTCTAACGTTTTACACCAAAAATTAATATTGGCTGGGTTAGGAGCACAGGGAGGTCAACTATCATTTCACACTGAG